GTGTATTAAAATGTCTTCTGTATACAGTAAGCCACTGACCGTTCTTTGTCAGCTGTGTGTAATGGTTTTCCCTTGAGGGAGGGTTGTGGGTACCAAAAGCCACCTGTTCTTACTTCCAGTTCCTGCTATGAGGAGTGTCCATTAACAGATAAGCAGGCGGTATTCCGTAAACTCTGGAATCCAACACAGTTTAACTAATCCCCATGTATAAAAACTAAAAACCTAACCCTTCCAGCACTCACTCCGTAGGGAACACAACCCAGAATTCCATGTTTTGCTTTTCACTATGACCTTAAGTCCACGGACAGCCCAGGCGTCTCTTTTTCAGAACTCTGCCTTCTGACCCCGCATCATCTTCCTATCCATTCCATACACCAAAACTGCAGGTGGACCTTCCAGGCCCATAATCTGGGACGGGAAGGGAATAGCAGCCCTGAACTCTTACAGCTGGAAGCAACTTCTGCCTTAGGAGAGAATCGAGGGAGCTTTCCACTACCTCTCAGACCCACATAGCTTGGCAGCCAGTAGGGCAGTTGGTTCCCGAGGCTTGGGGCTTGTCTTGAAATAGGGTCTTGTAAGTCCGGGGGCTCTAAGGTCCTTCATGCTGAGGGCTCTGTGATCCAGGTCATGTTAAATGTCCTGTTGTGTTCTCAGCAGCCAACGGAGCACAGCGCAGCATGTAGGCCTCTTTCGATTCTGAAGAGCGCCAGCCTTACATACGTGATCTCATTTTTGCAGGTTGCTTTGGCCCGTTCATCCTCCACTTCTTGCTCATGGTTAGTATTCCCTTTGTGATGGCTTGATGGTAGCAGAGCTGATTCCAGAAAGTTCTTTGAAACTGGAGGGATCTTATTATTCCTGTTCAGTGTTCCCATTCCCCACCTGGTCAGTGTGACTCAACCCAAAATACCTCCAGCCCACAGAAGTGAAAGATAGTGTGTGAATTTCACTAACAGCTTTTAAAACTGCTCATCCCTTTGAGGGCCCTGCAACCTGAGTTCACTTTCAGCATTGACGGTGCCCTTTAAACCCATGACCATCCTAAGCAGGAAGAGGTGTTTCCACAATCCTGAGTTTCAGCCAGAAAATGGGGCTGTTGGCTAAGGCTTATTAATCATCAAACATTGAGCCTCAAACCAAAATAATTCTTTATATGCTCAGAGTAGCTTTTATCATGGCTTCTGAGCTTCTGTGCTAAAAGGCATCATCACCGTGGACAGTCGCCCAGCCACAGTGACAAATTCAATGGTGGAAGCACGTGACCTCAGCCAGACCAATCAGAATCAGTCTCCTTGGCTGGAACCATTGAGGGAGGCTTTTCCTTCCCCTGAAGTTGCTAAGCAGGCAAAATGAAAACCTGGAGATGCTGATGGCCAGTTTTGTTCCCACATGCAAAGAGCATTTTTAAGAATGAAACACCAACTAAAGGCAAGCAGGGCTGAGATGAAAAGAAACAACATTTTAGATCCGGCTATGCTTGAATCTACCCAAATCTATCCCTGAAGTTTTCAGTTATACCAGACTTTAAAAACCCTTTTAAAAAAAAACAAGTTTTTTTCATACACAGTCTAACATTTGCAATGACAACTGTCCTACATAAATTGTAATTGGTTCCAGGAGTACTTTGTCTCAAAAAGGTTTAGTCTAGCATGTTTTGTGGAATATTAGAAGATGACATGTAGTAAAAAAAAATAGTGTGAGAAAGGAGTTAGGCAATTGTTAAAAGACATAGTATTTCTCAAAGACTTGAACTTGGTGATATGCATGTTAAATCTCTCAGAAGAGTAGACATAGTAAATAACCCTTTCCAACACTCATGAGACTCCTTGGGACCAGTTTGCTAGAGAATACACTTTGGAACAGGCTTACCTTGAGTTTTCTCAAAGTCCAGGCTTTTAGGAAGAAGCAATGCTTTAAGGGGATGACAAAACAAACAAACAAAAAAACAAACAAACAAACTTTCAGGATCTGTTCAACTAGATTTATCCCAAATGGCAGTGCCCTTCATGCTAATACTAAATTTGATGATCTATAGAAAACTAACTTTCGTCATTCCCCAAAGTTTCAATGGGCATCAAACTCTGTAGCCAAATGAAAACTCAACCTCAACTGAAAAGATAGAAACTCCTCAGATTGTCCCAGGATAACTCTGTTTTCATCAGATCTGGCCCCCTAACTACTGGTACGTCTGTTTTATTGTCCAACTCTCATGCTTTCGGTGAAATGGCATGTCACACACACAAGAAGACGGAACGACATCTGTGATTTTATAGTTATTTTAATAACCAGGTTTACATTAACAGTCACTTGATGAACTTTTTTTGTTTTTTGTTTTTTTCTTATCTCAGCTAAACTCAAAACACAAGTTTCTTCACGGTTCAAACCAAACAGCTCTTCACATTCCAGAGCTGCCTCACAGCTACCACAGATCACAGGGAGATTTACGGTCTGTCCATATTCACCAGACACAGAACTTTACACTCACATACCATTTTCCAAAAAGGGGACTTACAATGACTGCTGGCTGCCCAGGTCAGCCCATGTGTGTATCTGGAACTCGAGCTGGAGTTTTTCAGGGAGAAGCCCTGGGAAGCTTGTGGGACTCGTCACCCTGTTGTTGGAAAGGGCTTCTCAGGGTGAACGAAAGTCCAGGCTTACAACTGGGGCCTTTGGAACAGAAGCATGACTCTCTGGGTGTAGTCACGAAGAAAAAGGCCAAAGGATGACTGGACTTCAAAGAAAACCCATTTTCTGGATGACTATAAGACTTCCATTTTTAGAAAACTTAGAAGAAATAGCTCTATTGGGATGGCTGACTTAACAGTTCCACAGATACCTTCTCAACGACCTAAGCTTGTGGCCCTCCCAGGCAGAACCCTAGCTGATTGCCATCCGGGTTTAGGAACAATATGAGAAGGCTGAGGGTGGTGATGGTGGTGGCGGTGTTGCGGGGGGGGGGGNGTGAGGTGTTTGGGAGGTGACCAAATGAGGCTCTTCAGAGCTATAAAATGTCATTCAGAGGTCAGAATCCCAAGCCTGACTGAATAGGGATAAGGAATTCAGCCAGAAAGAAATGATGGGGCCAGATTAGAACTAACACAGATTTACAAGAATTCCAGTGATGTGCCCAAGTGCCCACACCATGTCAGCTTATTTATACCAGCTACCAAGAGCTGCTGGGAAGTCAAAATTGGTAACCATGGGAGTATTTACACCATGGAAATTGGCAAATGCTACAAATCAGGGCTTTTTTTTGCCCCCTCCTAGCAAGCCAGCTGTTAAATAGTTATTAGAACACCACTTGCCTTCTGCTAGTAGTACTCCTTGAGAGCTAATCGCCCTCTTAAGATAATCAGAGACCTGTGTCTTGGCAGGATCAGAAAAGAACATTGTGACATTAAAAGCGTGGCCTCCTTGTAGTACAGTGAAGTTGTATCTTATATGGGAGTTATGGTGTGAGGTAGAATGTGAGGTGAATTTGGGCAATCATAAAATTTACGCTTGAAAAACCCCTCATAACATAGGATGGGTCTCTTTTCTTAGTGAAACCCAGTACAGTGAGCCAGCCGCCCTTCAACCATGAAACAAGTCACTCTTTTTAGTTTATTTTTATTTTGTTTTTTATTTCTATTTTTGGTCTCATTTTTAGCTAATATCAGATGAACCAAAATGTTGAGATACTTGTACATACCTTTACAGACTGGAGGTACACGTAGAACCTTGGGATGCTCACACATCTGAGAGGCCTAAGGTCCCGGAACAGCAGTGCCACGTGTCCCCACCTTGTGCTTACTGCAGGAATGGTGGCCAGAATTGCCTAATTATTTGAAATATTATTGATATCTGACACTTTCTTTTTAGTTATTTATTTGCCAAACACAAAGTTTAATTCACCTAGGTGAGATGTGCATGTAATTATCTGCACTCTCCTGATACACAGAAGATCTTTGCAGAGGAACTATTTGAGAGAACCTACAGATGCCACTGGTTAGAGTGTCAAGAAGTGATTAGGCTCGGTGCAGGACTGTTTTAACCTCCTGGCCACTCACATCACCTAAACCTTGTCCTTACTTATAGAGAGTCTGGGCCTCACCAAGATGGTGGTAAGCTGGAAACAGGAGAGACCAGACTGGCCCATTTGGGAAACCAGACAGATGGAAATATGGCAGAGGTAACAGTTACGGCCACATGTTACACCTGAATTTTCCAGGAGGGAGTTTGCACTGGGGCATCTCAGCATGGGTAGAACACCAGTGATGAGTTTTAGCTCAGCATTTACAGTTGTCTCCTCACTAAGCCAATAGGCCCAGAATTCCTGGCAGGGCTGTAAAACAGTGCCTCTCTATTGTCAGAGCAACCATATTTTTGTTCAGAATTAAAGCGAGCTCTTCTGTTCTGTTTGATTCTTTTTCTCTACCTTCCCTACACATTGTCTATGCTATTTTGCTTTTCACCAAACACTATAAATTCTAAGTGTTACCCTGACTTGGTTTCTCAGAGGGTATGTGTTGACAAGAATGACAAGAAGGTGACCAGATTCTGCCCCAGGTTAGGAACCAGAAGTGTCACTTGCATGTTTACCAACTTTCATCTTTCAATTGATTTTGATTCAAGCCGTTGTGCTGTGGGTTTACCTCCCCAGTCACTTGTTCCTCCTCGTATGTATCACTCCACAGGAGGGACTTTGGGAAACGCTTACCAAAGGCCAGCGGGATTGGTAGGCTCTCCATCAGGATGGGAGCTGATCATGTGTGCCACTTCGCGTCTATACAAATTATAACAGGATGGGAACCCAGTGCAATCTCTGTAGTTTGAATCCCGAGTTTTTACTACCAGTGAGCTGTGACTGTGCCTGAAGCACCTCTATGGGCCTTCAGAAACCATGGGCGCACTGACTAATGACCAACAATGTGCTTCCAGTTTGAAAAGAAAAAGCATTATATCCATCAGTGTAGAACAACTGATTACAAACACCTCCCACCATTATATATGGTAAACATTAGGACAAAAATTTTTCCAAAACATCAAAGGATACCTACATCCTTACCATGATTGCTAGTCGTTGAAATCAGGTCCTTAGGTTTTATTTCATAACTAGAGCTAAAAGTTACTATCCTACCAGATAGAACATGTCTCATTTAGATTTATGACAACCAAGGCTCAGGGCTAAGAAAACTGGGTGACTATTACACTTTTTTTTTTTTTTGGCCTGGTATTCCTGGAATCCTTTTCTCCTAACAACTTCATCTGTGTGGAAAATCTAAAAAGTCTGAGCTGGTTTTGAAGACCAGACGCCCCCTGGTTATAACACTAGCATTATAGCAGGGCCACCCGCCCCGGTGCATTCACAGTGACCTCTAGAGGGTGGGAGGGGCAGCTGAGCCCTGCGAGGCTGGCCACAACCCTAACTGTGCAAGTAAACGGTCAGCTAATGGCTAACACACCTCGATGGCAGCACTGGTTTTGGTTAAGGTCATTGCTGGGGCAGGATTGAATGTCAAGCAGCACAGAGCACTGCTAAATTAATTAGGATTAAATTAATTCA